AGTTCTTACTTTCTCGATACAACGCACAGAATAAGCTACTACAACAAAACTAATTGAAATATGCAGTTTTCGTGTTTACCAAAGTTTTGATCTGTAGTGATTGATGATCTTACCAAATAACAAAGAAATTGCTTGAAAAATGAAAACTCGTTAGGATTTTTTCAATGTCCAAAATTTTTAGGTAAATTTAAAATGATATATCTCTCAGTTGTCAATGAATGATGATTCCATCACATTCAATTATCTAAGCATTTCCGATGAACACGATGAACATAGTGATAACACAAGACACTCGCAAATCTAAAAAAATGAAAATCTCAGTAGCATTTCCCCTTAAGTTTGACTGGAGTTTCTTAGATTAAAAAAACCCCAAACAAACCCAACAACCAAAAATATCATACCGGGTGGTCTTTAATGTCCAGGGACCGTCAGAACGTTCCAGTTTCAGGTGGTACTACTGGTACATGTGTGTTAGCTAGTTGTTAGATGTGCGAAAACGGCTGAAGTCTGATTGTTTTATTTTGTCGCGTTCCTTTTAGCGTGCTAGATAGTTTTTCGTAACTCTTCAGGGAACATTAGAACGTTTGAACGTCAGAGGCTTGTACTGGTGCACAAGTGACAGTTATTAGAGGATCTTGTTACGATTCAGTAGCCAGTGTTATTAGATCTAGGTCAACGTTTTTTTAAAAACCTATCATTGTTTTAATTTAATCTAGTTTCATTAAAGAGAAGCACACCGGCACAATGATGGTTATTTAATGAAGGGGGAACGTATGGCAGACAGACGGAGACAACAGAGGGAAAGTAATGAAGTAGGAACTACAAGTGTCTCAGTCCACCATCTGCTTCAACTGTCAGTACAGCATGTACTTGGTAGATTTTAGAATGCAATTAAATACAATTCAATTCATGTTCTTAAATTTCTATGTATACCTGATTTTGGTTTTATGGCTTCTACACAGCCAAGAAAAATTTCCCTCTGGGACAATAAAGTATCATTTCATCTCTCTCGCTCTCGTCTCAACAAAATGTAATCGCAGAAATTTTTCGTAGCCTACTCATCGACACTATTTAGATAATTTATGAGGTTTGTATCAACCCTTCCTGTCAGGATCAACCCGGTCTGAGAGGGATACAATTTCCCCGCAGACAAAGGAAGGTACTTGATCAAAAATTTCCCCTCACCAGAATCAAATTCATGTCTTCTGAGGGCAGCAATGACGAAGCGCCTCACCGCTACACATCAGATGACAGTATTTTCGAGTTATGTAATGCCATGGACGCTGCTTTGATGAATAAACATCACCAGTAATGTCTAATGTATGCATGCGCATTAGTTACCAGAGGCACGCCAACTGCTTCAATTAGATTAAATCTAGTTGACTTCTACATTTTGATTTATTAATTTTTCTTTCTTTTTTTTTACATTTTAATTTGTAACATTTTTTTGTTTTGATTTGTGACGTTTACATGTTAATCTGGGACTTTGACATTTCCATTTATGACTTCTGCATTTGATTTGTCTTTTATACATTGTATAGACTATAAGATTTGTGACTGGCTGACCTGTCACGCGAGGTTATTTGGGGGCTGAGGTGTGGAAAGGGAGGGGGCGGGAAGATAGATAGATAGATAGATAGATAGATAGATAGATAGATAGATAGATAGATAGATAGATAGATAGATAGATAGATAGATAGATAGATAGAGAAAGAGAGATAGAGAGACAGATAGATAGATAGGTAGATAGATAGATAGAGATAGGTAGATAGATAGATGCTACGCAGACAACACGAAAAGAGTTCGTCGTTGAGCTACAACCTCCCCCAACCCCCCCCCCCAAAAAAAACAAACAACCAACAACAAACAAAAAACAACAAACAAACCACGGTTTGTGACTGAAAGCTTTCTGATTAGTTCAGATATCTCTAACCAGAAATTTAACCCTTCATTCAATAATAACCATTGGCGTTTTCTGTGTCACTTTACACCTTTTGACAAACATAATATTTTTTAAACTGTATTTCTGTGTGATTTTCTCCCCCCCCCCCTCCAATCCATCCCCCAATCTCTACCCACTTGTACCTCCCTCGCATGTCTCCCCTGCCTCTCACCCGACACACTCCCTCCACGCCCCATCCCTCCACGCCCCATCCCTCCACGCCCTCCACGCCCTCCCGGCCCCATCCCCCCACGCCCCCACTCCACGCCCCATCCCCCCACACGTCCCTTCCCACACGCCCCATCCCTCCTCTTTCGCCCCCAACCCCTTATTCCGCGGCGACAGTTTCACCATGGCGTGTGGCTACCCACAGTGTTGTAAAATAGGCTCGCAGTGCGGCTGTCTCAACTGTGAGGGACCACACTATGCTTTTGTAAGTTTTGCATGTGGACGCCTGAAGGCTGTTACCTATTACCTACCTACCTACCTACCTATCTACCTACCTACCTACCTACCTACCTACCTACCTACCTACCTACCTACCTACCTACCTGCCTGCCTGCCTACCTTCCTACCTGCGTACCTACCAACCTAACCATTTACATATCTACTTTCCTTCTTTCATACCTTCCCACCTACCTACCTACTTACCTACCAACCTACCTACCTACCTACCTACCTACCTACCTACCTACCTACCTACTAACCCACTAATTATAATTACTATACCTACCTACACACCCACCTTCTACATACCTGCATACCTGCCTACGTACTGTAACTGACCTACCTATCCATCTGGATTGGCGAAAAAAAAGAAACCCAACGAAAATAACCATCACAAAAATATTTTGATTTAAAAAAAGTTAATGTAAACCCTTGATGTTCCAAAGAGGGGAGGGGAGGGGGGGGGAGGGGAGTGTGTATTACATTCCGGGATGGGAAAAATTCCAAAATGTCACACAAGCTCTCCTTCTTTAAGTCACTGTCACAGAGAAAACACCAGTGAGCCATAACTATAACGAAGAGACTATTCCCAGTGACACTGGGGATAGGTACAGAAACTATTCCCAGTGACAACGGAACTCTTTGACAAAAAAATCAGAAGTCTTTGCACTGTAGACTCTCTTCTCACTTCAGTTCGTTCAATACTTTCGTTGTCTTCTCTTATTTAGGGCTTAGACTTAGAAGAACGTAGAATATATCTAGATTTAGAAGAAAGAAGAATCGGGGAGGATTTCTACCTGTCCAGTACCGTGGTCTCCAAAATCAGAATGTGGATCTAGATCTACACGTACATAAATTACCACTGAATAACAAGCAAGCATAGAATGATCATTCCTTTTTCTGTAAAAAAATTGTTTCCACTCACACTAGAATCTGCTTTAGTTTAGTTGGATCTATTATCTAGAATCTAGTTGAAGATCTACATTAGATATAGTCTAGTATTTAGTAACCCATCACCACCATGCCCATGTAGATCAGTGTGGGAACAATAAATCTGATGGGCCTGTCTGTTCTCAGACTCAGTGACACTGGGAATAGTTTCTGGGCCTATTGCCAGTGACACATGGAATAGTTTCTGGGCCTTTCCCCAGTGTCACTTGGAATAGTGCTTTCTTATCTATAAACATGAAGTTGGAGTACGTTTGAATAATAAAAAGAAGTACATTCACACAGAAACCATTATTCAGTGCAGGGGGAAAGCAAGGCAAATAAACAAAATCATGAAAGTGGAAATAAATAAAAGTAGAACTGACAAGTGGCGCCCTCCAACCATACGCGATGTAAAGAGAAATAAAAAGAAGAAACTTCTCGTAAGAATTGTTTTGAAACCTTTGAAGAAAAATCTAACATAACATGACGTGTTTTTGTTTTTGTTTTTTTTGTTTCCCTTTCAGAAAGTTGACAAGGTCGACCACCCTGCTGGCCTGAAGCTAGAAGCGGAAACAGCTGTGCAGGAAGTGCGTCATCTTGTAGACAGACTGTTGGTGCTGGTTGCTGACTTTTGAGCTGTGGTGATCACGCGCACAACAGTATACTAAACCAATCCACAAGCTTCATCGCAGAAGAGAAAACAATGCTGAGTAAAATCGTCGTGATGTACAGACATGTGAATTTAGGGAGGGGAGGGGGTGGTTATGAGTTACTTTACCAAAAGTTCCAAACCTTTTCCAATTTTTGTCTTACATCCATACTTTGCTCAGTATACAGTTTTTCTTTGAGCTACACGCCTTGTTGCTGTTCTGCAAGAGTTCTGCAATGCAGGCGTTTATTCAATACCCCCCCTCCCCCCACTTCTTCTTTTCCCGATCTTTCAAAAAAAAACACCTATATTTTTAACCAAGAATGTTCGTGCTATTTTCCTACTGTATTATGAAAAGCACTCAGATCTCTTCCAAATCGTGCGTTTTCAGACAATACATCCAAATTTCGACTGCTAAGTGCAGGACCCTGCCATGCACCATTTTGAAAACTGACGTATGACGGAGTTTTACACGGAGCAATTGGTATTATTTTTCTTAGTTCATTTTAAGTTTTCTCTAGATGTGGTCAAAGGAAGCCAGTCAACTGAATTATTGGTACAGAGTGTCTAATAAGAGACGTACGGACTATTAAAAATATCAAAACTTAGTTCAGACAGTGGTCTTCCAAGTACAACAAGGTACATTTTTATTATGGCGATCAGTAGCATATCATGGTTTTTTCATACTTTGTGGTTTACTTTGATTTGTGTAGGCCTTCAAAAAAAGCGTTAAAATTGATCTTTGTAATTTTTGCATGCTTTGAGTTTCAGAACTCAATACTTCTCTGGTTTTATAAATGGAAACTATACTGCTGAAAGAGAATAATAATATGCACAGTTGCAATACTTTCTTGCATAATATATTATTGAAAGTAAAACAGATTTAAACACTTTCGCAACAGTTATTTTCTTTTGTTTGATTGTTCACTTTTTTCATTTGATTTGTAAAAAAGATGATATCCTTCAAAATAATCAGCTAGAGATAGTAGTATGCAAGGCGGCAGACAGAAAAAGATAGAGTGATGAAAAAGATGGATTAATTCCCTTCAACAAACTGCATTTTGTTTTTCCGAGTGTGAAAATTGAATAGCAAACTCACATACTAAAACGACATTGTTCCCCAAAGTGCTTCGGTTTTTTTCTATTAATGTCTTTAAAAACCATGTGGAAAATTTGAAGAAAAAAAACAACAACAAAAAAGCTAACAACAACAACAACAACAAAAAACAAGCTACAAAAAAGCAGGGTTTTTTTAAATTATACAATCTTCACATAAAAAAGCGCAAACCATGCGACGTGGGTGGTCGGTGGGTGCTCGTGGGAGGTTTATAGTTGGGTTTGGAAGGCTCAAAAACTGTGATATTATTCTGACGTTGACCGAGGTGACCCTCACAGGAGTTCTGTTCGGAGAGATCTTCTGTGTTCTAGTCTTTCGTTGCTTAGCAACCAATAGGTGCACATCTTGCCTTTTCCCTAGAGGGCAAAGAAAACAAATGGTGAAATGGTGAAGATCTAGTTTAACGCCCCTATCAACACTATTAGCTTATTTATAAGGCGGGACCTCTGAATTTAATGTCCATCTCCGAGAGGACCGTGTCAAGTGGGAAATCCTTGTAAAGCGCCTTTCCCAAGGACACAACGTAGGACCGAGCAGGGGCTCGAACCCCCGAAACTGCTATCTCACGATTATGAGTCCGGTAACCTAAGGGCAGAGAGAGAGAAAGAGAGAGAGAGAGAGAGAGAGAGAGAGAGAGAGAGACAGACAGACAGACAGACAGACAGACAGAGACAGAGACAGAGACAAAGACAGAGACAGGCACAGAGAGAGACAGAGAGAGAGAGACAGAGAGAGAGAGGGGCAGAGAGACAGAAAAGGAGATAAACATATATATTTAACGGCCATTGGAACACATTAAGGCATCATCAGAGTCCACGATGGGAGCTCTTATGGTCTAGAGGTCACGGTGTTCGCCACTCATTCAAGAGGTCGCGGGTTCAAAACCTAGCAGCGACGGAATGTTTTCTTCTTCTAGAATTTTCTCCTTTCACCTCCTTTCCTGCATTCTAACCATGTCTTCTGCTTTAGTCTCCACTTTCTGCCGCCCTCCCCACACCCTTTGCCCCCAGGGCTCCTGATTCTTTCTGCAGCCTTTTTACTGCTACTCCTTGGGTCCTTCTTACTGCTGTCTTCCAACCAGACTCTTGATCTTGGGGTAGGTAAAATCTAACACTTAACCGTGTCGACAAAGGGTGAAAAATCTCCGAGGCCCCGTGTGCACGCTTAAGATCTCTTTGTGGTTCAAAATTTATTAGAGTAGGCTTCGGTACATAGGAGACACATGAAAGCAGTCTATTGCTATTAAATCTTTGCCGTAACCGATTGAGGACGCACATTCTGGAGCCTTCGACATTGTGCGATGGCGCTCTGTTTCAAGACACTTTAAAGAAGAAGCGTGTCTTCGTCATTCAAAGAGATAATTCAATTCTCTTTTCCTTATCTGAAACTTAAAAAAAAAAAGGCAGGCAACAATGTGTAGACTTACCGAGAGAAATGAACATTTGTGTGTGTTTTTTTGGTGTTTTTTGTTGTTGTTTTTTTTAGTAAATGTTTTACGCCACTTGCAACACAATGTGGGCATATGAGTGCAGAAGATTAGAGGTGTTACAAAAGAGTAACAAACACAAAAAAGGAGGGGAGATAAGAACGTTAGATGTTCGTTAGGAAAAGAAGGAGCAAACCTCACCAGATCACCCACCAACCACCCAAAAACTTGGGTTTCTGATTTGTGTAAATCGGTTTGAGAGGTACTACAACATTGCCCTGCGGTCTGTTGCTGATCGGATCTTTGAGTCCACTACATCCTTAAAGAGTTAAAAACCAATTTCACTACACACTTTGTCTCTTATCATAACCTCTACTACTGCCTTTCGTGGTTGCAGACTGTTAGGTGCTCAAGAACAGTTAATTATTCACACGTTTGGTTTAAATCATTTTACCCAGTGCACACCGCTAATCGAATTAAGTGGAATTGAGTCAGGGGCCAGCTGTATTATTTGCGTCCTGAAATTTGGCTAAAGCAACCAATTCGAACCTCCACCTTGAAAGACAAACACGTTTGATTTTGAAGGTCACAATCGAATTTAGTTGACTTCAGTCCAATTGTTCGAAAATGCTAGCTTTTGCCCTTTCCAGGAAGCGAAAAATTTGGCTGGTCCCGACTCACGATTCAATCAGTTGAAAGTAAAAGGCAGTGTGCGCTCGGTATAAACTGTTACCTTAACCTCCACCGCCTCTCGTTGCTGCAGTTTGTAGCCTGGCTTAGTGGTAAGGATGGCGCCACCGAGGGGTGCTATGTGTATGTGGGACGCTAGAGAAAGAAGAAGAAAAAAACATGAAGGTGAAACTGCAGTGTGGTAAAAAATTCGTAGCGCAATTTATCCTCAATTATCTCTTTAACTAGTGAATCAGTGTCACCCATACTGTGCACAGCAGTTTGTATCAATTTGCATGATTTTTTCCTCAACAATTGAGGCTAGATTTTAAAAAAAACAACCTTTTCTCCATAAATTCATACAAAATACTATAAATCTCCTTAACGCAGAAAATGGGATTGCTCACAGCACTTCCCGCTTCTCACACACATTTTGCATACGCATATGGTATACGTCACTGCTCACCAATGGCACATTTTAATGGCAACATTTGTTACAAGAAATGAATTTTATAGTGAACACTTTTTTTGCTCTAAAGGTTCTCAAAACATGCGTTCACTAAAGGTAGTATCTCGATTAGAAAAAAAAGGATAGACTTGCTTTTAAGAGAGATATTGACCCTGCTGTAAACCTCATGAAATCTGTTAGTATTTATTACGGGATTTTCTAAAATACAGCTAGCAGGTGTTTACAAAAATATTAATCTGTTAAAACAAAATGATACAAGTCATTGTGTAAAAACTGGAGAGCCTACGTTCGATACTTTAGGAAATATTTGACAATAGGTTGCCCCCTGCATTTTTACCGCACTAGTATAGCAGTAGAAGGAAAGTTTCGTTTTTTATCTAAAGAATTGATATGTTCGACTATAACATCTTTCGTTGTTGTTTGTTGATGTCGTTGCTGCTGCTGCTTCTGCTGCTGCTCCTGCTCCTGCTGTAGTTACTGCTTCTGTTATTCCTGTTGTTGTTGTCGTTTTTGCTGTTGTTGTTGTTGCTGTTGATTTGTTCTTGTTGATGTTGTCGTTACTGTTGTTCCAGTCTTTGTTGTCGGTGTTGTTT